CTGTGCCAAACACTACGCGTATGTTTGGATCTCCGTTTTGAGATCCAAACGTGCCTTGGAAAATGTAATAAGTCAGTTGGGGGCATTCTGAGGGTAAACTGATTGTTTGGATAGGTAGCTTTTCAACCTGACTTCTGAAAAAAAGCTCCTTATTTCTCAACGCTCCTAGAAGCAACTTTTCCACCATTTCAAAATGCATTATACCGTTAAATTAATGAATATTAATTTCTCTCACCTATTCTACTGGACCCAGCTGCCTCTCTTCAAAGCTTCACCTATCTCTACCGACCTAGCTGCCTCTCTTCAAAGCTTCACCATTCCAACCTCAGCTCTACCGGACCCAAGGCAAAACACTTTGATCCCTCACTCTCGGCACTCGCCTATCTCTACCCGACGGAGCTGAGAAGTAACTTCTGAGAAGGGCATGCGTAGCATTCGGCCGTGTTTCAACTCCCTCACTCTCGGCACTCTCTCTTCATTGCTCTTGCCAGTGTCTCCGTCCATTGGTCTCGGCTGCGTCTCCATCCGTTGGTCTCTTTGGGCGCCTCTGTCCGTGGGTGTCGACGGCTCTGCTCCCCCTCCATCAAAACAGATCTGGGTGTGGCTGCGTCTCCATTCGTCGCTCTCTCTGCCATCTCTGTCCGTGGGTGTCGACGGCTTTGCTCCCTCCACCGCTGAAGGTTGTTCGTGCCATCGCTGGTGTGTTTTTCTTCTCTTCCCTGTTCGACTCTCAGCTCCCTCCACCGTTGAAGGCTTCATTTTTTTCTTCCTTCTCTGATTGTAGATGCTGTTTGACAGACAATAATATGTGCACTCCCTTAAGCTGTTACTCCTTCTTCGTGCTGAATCGGTTTGTGTGTGCATATGTGTGAATGTGAACTGAATGGCTGTAATTAATGGTGTATGGTGTTGGTTTATGGTGCAAGATTTATGGACGTGTGAATGCTGTTTTGACCGAAGCATATGGGTTTTTTCGCTCCTCTTTTTGTTGATCAGAGAATTTTATTTTTTTGATCGAAGCATATCAGAGTTAATGAATGAATGAATTAAAGTGATGGGAAGATGGGGACGAATGAATGTGTGAAGCAAGGGGGCAAAAGAAATTATATATTTGTTGAAATTGCCTTGGTTGTCTGCATTGAAAAATAGTTTGGCCTTAATTTTGTTAGATATTATGTTATACTGCGTGGTTGGAATTTTTGAGTTAAAGGAAAAGAGTATTTTTGGTGCTATGGGCTTCATGTATCATGATTGAGAATGGGTGGTGTAGTTGTGTGCTGAATCCAAATATCGATAAGTTCCTATTTTTTTGCATGTTTGTAACGTAAAGCAGAGTTTGAATTAATTCACTTTTTGTGATTTGATTTACATATATTGTGGGTCTATACTGTTTGATTATACTGCTTGATTCTTGACTAATTGTGACTTTGATATATATGTAATTTCAACAAGAACTATGAGTAATGATAAAGGCAAAGCACATTGGGATGTGAGCACCACAGGTGTGTTTCTCAAAATATGTGTTGATCAGATTTATAACAAGCTTTGTCAAGGATCTTCATTTACAAAACCAGGTTGGGACAATATTCATAGAGAATTCAATGAAAAGACAGGGAGAGGATATGAAAAAAAAAAAAGCTGAAAAATAGATTAGATAACTTGAGGAAAGAGTGGAAGACATTTGATAAACTAATTGCTAAGGAGACCGGCATAGGGTGGGACCCTGAAAGGAACACGGTGGTGGCATTTGATGAGTGGTGGGAGAGGAAATTACGGGTATGAAGTAGCTTATGTTAATTTATAAGTAGTATTATACTTTTGGAATCAATTTAACTATAGTTTACTTTTGACTTTGTAGGAAAATCCAGCATATGAAAAGTTTAGGCACTATGGGTTAAGGTTTTGTACTGAATTGGAAACTATATTCAAGGACACTATGGCATCAGGAGATGATATGTAGGCACCATCTTGGACTGAGCCTGCACCATAGAGGGGTGATCAGCCAAATGACTACCAACCAACAATGGATTGGCAAGAAGGTTCAGGGGATAGGCAAGAAGGTTCAGGGGATAGTGAAGATGACACTGGACGCCGTGTAGGAGTTTCGAACTTTTTGGACAGCATCAATTTAACTGCAAACACATCGAACACTGCACCCACTATACCTAGTGCTTCAGGGAGTTAAGGGAAGAGGAAGAGAGGTGAAGGGTTGGACAAGTACAAGAAGCAAAAGATGTCAGCGACAAGAAGAATAGCAGATTCAGTGAGTTCGATTGAGAAGGCTTCAATTAGTACAGCAGAGGCAATAAACAAAATCTCCAATAGTGATAACACTATTGAGCTTACCACTGATCTGTTAAGTACGCCTGAAATTGTCAGTGACACTCATCTATGTGTCATCTGTTGTAATCTGCTGGCAAACAAGACATTCAGGGACATATATGTTGGTTTGAGAGAAAATCGGGAGGTATTAGTGGCTTGGTTGAAGCACAATGCTGCAAATCCGCCACCATATGCCGCACCCAAGAATCCTTGAGTTGTGCCTAGTGACTTATTGTGATTTCTGTTTATCTATCTTAATGTATTTGGTTATTGTGTGTCATGACAATGTATTTAATGATTATGTGTGTTTCATGAATTTGTTTAATGTTGTGTGTTTCATGACTACGTTTAATGTTGTGTTTCATGACTATGTATAATTGTTATGTTACAATTTAATGGCTATTTATCACTTACCTTTTCTCTTCTTTTTTTGTGAAAATAGTACTCACATTTAGTATTTAACTATTCACAGGTAACATAATCCATGTCTGATTCAACAGATAGTTGGGGCGAGGGTTGGGACGACGAAGGGTCTCAATTACTTCCCGCCTTATATGAACACACAACACAATTATCACAATTAAGTGGGTTAATGGGTCTGTATGTGACACCTTTTCTATGCAAACAGCCATGCAGAACTAGCGAACAAGCAGGTTATTTATGGGTTCAAGAACTTTTGCACGGGCATGAAGGACGGTCTAAGGAAATGTTTCGAATGGAAATAGAGATACTCTATCGGTTATGTTCTAAATTGGTTGAACATGGGTTGCAAAATTCTAAGTACATAGGTGTCCATGAATCTGTTGCCATGTTCTTGAATACAATTGCGCATGATCAGTGTAATAGGATGATTCAAGAAAGGTTTCAGCGTTCAGGAGAAACTGTCAGTCAGCATTTTCATAGAGCGTTGGATGCTTGCCTCAATTTATCTCGAGAAAATATCAGGCCTATTGATCCTGCATTCTCCTATTGCCACCCAAAAATAGCAAATGATCCACGATACTTTCCATTTTTTAAGGATGCAATCGGCGCAATTGATGGCATCCATATAAAATGTCAAGTTAGTCAAGCTAGGCAAGACAAATATATTGGGAGGAAGGGATTTCCAAGTCAAAATGTCATGGCCGTATGTGATTGGGATATGTGCTTCACGTTCGTGTTGGCAGGCTGGGAAGGTAGTGCACATGATGTTTGTGTCTTTCAATCTGCTATTTCAACTCCATCCATGAATTTTCCTCATCCACCTGAAGGTATATTTCTGTAAATTTCAAATCAATTATTTTAAAATTAAACTTCAATTGCATTATTTGGTTGATGATTTTCTAGGCAAATTTTATTTGGTTGATACTAGCTATTCATCACAAGTGGGATACCTTAGCCCGTACAGACGTGAGCGCTATCACCTTCCAGACTTTAATCGTTGCCAGGATTTAGAAATGAGAATGAGGCCTTCAATTATTATCATTCAAGTTTGAGATGCACTATTGAAAGAACTTTTGGAGTTTGGAAGAATAGGTTTGCAATCTTAAGAGACATGCCCAGATTCAAGTTTCAAGCACAAGTCCGCATAGTTTGTGCAACAATGGCTATCCATAATTTTATCAGGAAAAATTCTCCAACTGATGACCGCTTTATACAAGTTGAGCATTGAAGTACAATAGATGAAGACAATAATCATCCAGCTGGTGAGGCATCCTCGTCAAGTTTAACATCTACTGCACAAATGAATCGTGTTCGTGACTCAATTAGAGACCAAATTGTGCAAAGCTTATGATCTAATTAGTTATGTCATTTTATTTACTTTAATTAGAGACCAAATGAATTTTCATTTGATTTATGTTCATGTTTGTCTATTAAGTACGATCTAATTACTTATGTAATTTCATTACTCTAATTAGAGACGAAATGAATTTTAATTTATGTTCATGTTTGTCCATTATATATATTTAATTAATTATCTATAATGTGTTTTTAAATTTTTCTTGGTGACATATATTTTTATTTTATAATCTCACAAATAAATTATTTTTATTTTATCATAATAATTTTAGATTTTTTTTAACAATTATCATATTAAAAATATCAAACACTATTATTCAATATAGTATATGCCCTTTTCAGTCATTTTACAACTGAACTAACTTTTATATTCATCCAAACAACTTTTACTTTTTCAATTGACTTTTTAAAAGCACCTATCCAAACATACCATAATTGACTTTTACTTTAACTTCAGTTAGAAAAGTTAGTTGGACTAGAAGTCAGTTTTGTCCAACGCCAATCCAAATATACCCTACATTTTTTGAAAAAGCACCGTTTGCCATTTGAATCGCAAGTTTTGGTGTCCAAACGTGAATGCAAACACACCCTACATTGGAGACCTAGCTATGACTGTTCATGATCGTCTTGGAGGAAGGCCCCAAACGGACAGAAGGGGGAGAGGTGGACACTGTTCTGGTAGATGGTTCTGGTTCGAAAGGAGGAGTCGGCATTTTGCGGACTGTCCATCATCTCCGTCGATCTTCTTCGTCCGCGGGTTTGGGGGCTCAGGTCTACAGGTTCAGCAGAGGAGATCAAAGACGAGAAGGGGTAGCCGACACTGGTTCTGGACTAGAGGGACGGCCATTCACTCTTCTTTCTCTTCTTCTCGGGACATTGGACGAGTTCAACGGACTGAGCTAGTGAATCGAGACCGAAGGTGAGCAAGCTGATGTTCTCCCTTTCCTTCTTAGAGAAAGCTCGACGGAATAGCTGAAGAGGAGCAGAACAGAGGCGGTTTTCTGGCGAGAGAAGGGAGAGACTGCATTGTTGGGGCTTTGGGTTCTTCTCATTCCGTTCACATTCAATTCGTTTTCCATTATTCCATCATCCAGTTCATTCATTCCACTGTTTATGTTCTTCTTCCATTCCAGTATGTCATCTTGTTTTGAATTTGTTGCTGTTGAATTGAGATTGCTCGAAGTCATGTGTGGCTAGTGTGTTTTACTGCTTAGAGAAACTATGAACTTGTTAGTGGATTGAGCTCTATTTCACTTCACTGAATTGAGGATGCTTAATATTAAATTTTAATTACTTACTCTTGCTTTAATTTTCTATTTGATGACTGGCTACCATTAATTATTAATTTGAGAATTAAAATTTTTCTTGACAAAAGAGATTTTGATTAAGCTTTTAGATTAAATAATATGGGATTAGCTGATAATCTAATTTGGATTAGAATAGAAATACACCTAATTACCCCATATAATTGTTGATGACTGAGATTGAATTGTTTAGCTTCTTAGATAATTGTATGAGATATTACATAGTTAATTTAAGAGAGGGTTGTAAGTGGACTGATAGGCATTTGTAGCTAATTGAACTCTATATTAACAAAATTGACATTAAAATTAATTAATTTAGTGAAATGAGGTTTAAGAAGCTAGCAAAGGATTAGTGACTCTAAGTTGGCTTTTTTAATATTTGTTTTAGTTAAATTGAGAAAGCTTTGCTTTGTTTTGTTTTAATTTCTTTTCACTCAAACTTAGTTCCTCATTTATTCACACAACAAAAAGTGAGGTGATTTTTGTTTAAAGAGAATTTCCCACGAAATATGAAATAATCAAGGCTTCCATTAGGAAGAAGTTCATAGATAAGGAGTCGTTCGTTCTTTTCCAAGCAAAAACCAAACAGCTGAACTAAATTTCGGTGTTGAAGCTTAGCCATTAATAGCACTTCATTCTTGAATTCAGTATCTCCCTGCCCAGAAACCCCAGACAACCTTTTGACAGCAATATTTTGTCCATTGGATAGCTTGCCCTGAAGTTGACTAAGAACCAACGTTTATTGTAATTAGACTCGGAACTGATATTTATTTAACATGACATTGTTATATCCTTACCTTATAAACAGGTCCAAATCCACCTTGCCCAAGCTTATTTCCATCAGAGAAGGAATTTGTAGCGACTTTGATGGTTCTAAAGTTGAACTGTATTGATTCAGCAGGCTTAATTTCATTATCGTTAGCTTCAAGTTCACCTGGTACAGAGGAATTCAAGCTCGTCGTGTTAATTATGTCAGTGGATTTTTCATGGCTTCCATATTGATTGGATACATGTGCACTTACTTTGAATAGCTGTCCTCAGCTTCCTTCCTTTTGCAGCATAAACCCCAACGAGGCTAAGCAGTACCACAAAGCCAACTATAGGCGCAATTATCTCAATGACAACTCGTGACTTACTGTGTTTTCCTAAGAAAGAAGATCATGTTCATTAACCAGACAACAATAATTAATAGAAAAAGATTTATAATGAAACTTGTTGGATGTTTTTATTTTTATTTTTTTTGGACCGGGGAAATGCATTCCAGTAGAACCAAAAAAGAGCAGAACCACAAAAGCTAACAGGGGAAAAGAAAATGACAACACAAAACAAAAACACAAGCCCAAATCATAAAGCCCATAGAAACAATCATGTTGGATGTGTAAAGCCCAACTACTCTGTAGGACAAAAACGCTACTACTACAATTTTTCTAAGGAGTAAGAGCAGAACCAAAAAAGCTTACAGGGGAAAAGAAAATGACAACACAAAACAAAAGTACAAGACCAAATCATAAAGCCCATAGAAACAATCATGTTGGATGTGTAAAGCCCAACTACTCTGTAGGACAAAAACGCTACTACTACAATTTTTCTAAGGAGTAATATTAATGTTAGTACTTATAGTTTGATTAAATTTTGGTATTAATCAATTTTTTAAACTCAGGACCCTTCACGTGGCACTTTTTTTTTCTTTCTTTGTTTTTTGGTCCTGATGAGAGTGTAAGACCAATACTTCAGATTAATTTTAGTTTGAGATTAAAAAGATTTAAGATTTCAGTACAAAAACCTCTGCCTCTTATTCTTATAAAATCACGTAATTACATTCTCCCCTAAAATGCACCATGCTGAATTTTTAGAAAATTAGTTGCAAATTATTTTATAGTCTATAGTGAATTGTGGATATGCACCATGCTGAATTTTATGGAAAATTAGTTAATAATAAATTGGGAATGATAAGTGTCAAATTGTTGCAACAATCAACTGCCAACTTGAAAATTTATAATACTCAATTTGTTTAAAAATGAGTCTGGTATGATATCAACTATCAACTTGAAAACTTGTAATAGCCAATTCGTTTAAAAATGGATAGGCATGATATTATTGAATCTAAGTATATTCAGTTAATGAAACTTGAATTATATATTGATTGAAATTGGAATATCTTGAATTAAATGGGAAACATTATAAATAAATAAAATTTCAATTGGAGGCTCAAATGAAGAAATTAATAATTAATTTTGAATTTGAATAATATTTTAATTAGGATTTGAATATATTGCATTAAATGTGGAGCATCATAATTAAATAGCATATCAATTAGAGGCTTAAATAGAGAAATAAATAAATAAATTTAAATTTTCATCTATTCTTTCTAAACTAGAAATTTCTCCTCCGTACGATGCACCGACTAGAATATTTGATTAAATTTTAAATTTCAATAAATTGTATTATCTAAGGTAACTCAAGATTCACTGCTTACAAAAGTGTGATTTTTTTATTCATTCAAATGAAATTTGAAATAGAGTTTCTGAAATTAGGAGGAACATATAAAAGTTTAAATTTATTTATTTATTTTTCTATCTAAGAGTTTCTGAAATTAGGAGGAACATATAAAAATATAAATTTATTTATTTATTTTTCCATCTAACCCTTAATTGACATACTATTTAATTATGATATTTTTTATTTAATTCAATATATTTAAATCCCAATTAAGATATTATTCAAATTCCAAATTAATTATTAATTTCTTCATTTAAACCTCTAATTGAGATCCCATTTAATAATAATGCTCCTCATTTAATTCAATATGCACAAATCTCAACCAAAATATTATTCAAATCTTATTAATTGAATATATTCAAATGTCATAATGTCATACCCGACCTGTTTTAAACGAATTAGGTATTACAAATTTTTAAGAATATAGTTGATGATTTTTCACATATTAGTGTCAAGTTTTTAAAAGTTAACAAAACATTTTGAAAATATTTATTGAAAAGATTTACATACAGTCTTCTGCAAATTGATATTTATATAATAATTTCTAATTAATTTTTTTAGAAAAATTATACATGGAATATTTTGTGAAGAGTAGTTATGGAGTTTGGCATCATTATTGAGGATTAGAAGTCCTTAACTGAAATTTTGACATTTTCTAATCACAAACTGAAGTTATTACTATATAGGTGTCAAGCATCATTCCCTCATTCCCCTATGGATGAGGATTGGATGGTATTTATGTCTTTGCATATTTTTATGGAAATAGCAATTTTTAATCAAGATAAATTAAGAGTGAAAATTATAAAAAAAAAAAAAAAACAATGAGAAACTCTTAATTTAAGAAAAGCTGAAAAGTGCCCTGTGACAACGTCATATTGACGGAACGAGGAGAAACTAGCAGTGCCGGTGCCGTTGCCGGTGCTGATACTGAAGTCGGCACGTCAGCCGTAGCTTCATAGAATCTGTAACTCTCAAATCTGATATTGCAGCTCCGTTTAAAAACTCTGCCTCCTTCGCTACCATTACAACATTCTGGAATTTTCGAGATAGCCCCGTCCAAGCAATTACGACACTCTGACTCATTCAAATCAGGCATGCACTGAACAACGCTGTATATCTTCCTCCCCCCGATCCTGCTTCAGTATTCCCGAAGGCGAATTTCCTGCGAGAGTCACCGGACGCTGCTTTCCGACTCAGACTCCCAAGTAAGCCATTCACAACTAGCTTATAATGATCCCAATTTGTTATATTATCCCTTACGCTCCTATTGTAGATGGTGAAATCCCGAGTCGGGACGATACCGAATATTACATATCCTGAGTAGAACAATAGGCACTCGTCGTGTATTGAAATTGCGGTGCTGTAATTATAACAGGAATGCGTGACGGTGGTGGAGTTTCTGAGGCAGTCACGGCAGGTGGTCGGAGTAACGTCTGCTCCGTAGAGTCCGATTGCGTTGACTGTGTCTGGGGATTGACCGTAAGAGAGATTGTCGAAGCCGTAATGGACGTTAGGGTTTGAAGTGATTTTTGATAGGAGGATGTGGAGGTTGAACTGGTAGGTGCTGTTTGGCGCATAGGTTCCAAAGGAAGTGAAGCAATAATCATAGAAATGAGAATGGAGAAGAAGAGTATGAAAGGAAGTGGGTCTCACAGAATCAATAGCCATTGGGTGGTCCGTAAGTTGGCTGAGGAGACTGTTAGTCAGGGTATGAAATGGAAGAGTCTCAACGTAAGGAGATATATAAAGCTTGTTTAGATATATAAAGCTTGTTTGGCTTTCAGTTTTCAAAACTGGTTTTTGTTTTAAAAAACTAAACCAAACAAAATAAAAAATAAAAACATGTTTGAAAATGTATTTTTGGTTGTGTTGAAAATAAAGAAGTTAAAATTTATTTTGAAAAACGGCAAAAAAAGTCAGAACATCTTTTTTATGTTTTGTTTTACGAAATTAGATAAGAGGGGAGAAGGATATTATATTTTCAACCATAATCATGTTAATAAAAAGATATTATTTCACCCTTCATTTTAACATTTTATAAAAGTATTATTATAATTACACTTGAAAAATGCATTAGTAACTAGTAAGTTTAAAGTGTCCAAATTTGATCTAAACAAAACTGTAGTTAAAAAAAAGTTAAAAGAATCTATTTTACAATAATTGTCCGTTCAAATCGAATTTTAACAGCCGAAATTTATTTATATATTAATGCATGTAAAATTATAATAATATTTTTATAAGATGTTACATCTGTGCCATCAAAATTTTAATTCAATAGTGTGAAACAAAAAGGAGAGAGGATCCATTCCTTTCCCTTGCGTGTTATTTTGATTCAGAAAAAAATTGGAGAAGAATGCGAGGACGTTGAGAAGAAGAATATGAAAGTCTATCTTCATATGACTAATTCATCATTTTTTTTAATGTTATTTCTATTTCTAAACATCAGTACAAGGAAAAAAAATTCTCTTCCTTTTTCTGGCCATCTATCTCTATCAAGTAGCTTCACTGAGTTCGGTTTTGTACAGTATATGCTTTAATTTCATCATCCATGATGAAGCTTGATCTCATTAGGCAAGCTCGTGAATTACTTCATTCCAAAGTCTCCAGTCAAAGAAAGAAAATAATTCAACAGATTATATTCTGGTGGGCTTTTTTCTCAAAAGCGGGGCATGCACATTACATTAAGCTATCATGGATTTTTAGGTACCGTTTAGTACGAAGTATTAAAAATAAGAAATAGAATTTGAGATTAAAAATATAAAACTATATTAAAAGGGTATTTAGTATGAATAATTATATAATACTTGGGATTAGACAAAACCTATATATGTGGGATTGGGGAATACCTTGAGGGGAGGTGGTATTCTCCAATCCTATCTATATGGGATTGCTTAATCCCATGTGATAAGAAATCATTCATGCTAAGTATCCTTGTAACATATGTTTTCAACCCCAATTTTAATTCTTATCCCTCAATTTCAAAACTCCGTACCAAAAAGTAATTTTAGTGTCTATTATTGAGCTTTACTTTTGAAAAGCTAAATAATAGATTCTGCTCTCGCCAAGTGGCAACACAACAATAACAAATGATGGATTTGTTGATGGAATTGGATCCCAAGCTTGAGTCTGGCATTGACGTTTGTATACGTGCACATGTCGGTAATTAACCTTATAAAATTCATTTTATTTCAGCATGTTTTTTTGGTTATTATTTTTTTGTGAATAGTAATTATGATAGGAAAATGTGTATAGTTGATATTTGGGTAAAAGCTGTCAATTTTTAACTAATTATGAATATTTTGCCTCTAGTTTATCGATTTTGGTTTTCATAAATTGTTTTGTTTTGATAGGTGGTTTGAAGCTTGTAATTACAATTATTTGGGGATAATTACAATCAGGTTCTAAGAAAAAAATAATTACTAAAAAGTCTTAATAACAACCTAAACAGTCTGTAATGACAAATTTCATAGTCGAAAATAATAACTTTTAAGACTTGTTTTGTAATTATTTTCTTTCTTTGAGACTTCATTATAATTCTCCCAATTATTTATGAAGCCATTTGAAGTAGATATTATTGCTCAGTAAGTTGGAAAGATACTTAGGCTATGTTTGGATTATCATTTAGCCTACAAAACATATCTTGGAAAGTGTGAAACATGGGTTGGAGAGTTATTTGGGGGAAAAAAGATTGTGTGGGACTTTTATTCAAGGAAAAATTTCAATCTAGGACCGCTGTAGCAAATTTATTCCAATCAACCCCCCAAAAAATATGAAATTTTACTATAGGACCTAGGGGGAAGTGAAATTAATTGGACAAAGAAAAAGATGCAAATATCTCTGTTAACTTTTGCTCCTGAGATTGAACAGAAAAGGACTGAAATTTAGGATAAAATTTCATCCTACTCTTCCCTCTCTCACACTGAAATCTTTCTCACATGCTCTTTCCTTTCGCATATCAAAACTCATCATCTGTCTACTAGTTGTGGCACTCTGAAAAGTCACAGAAATCATCCAAAGGAGATTCATTGTCGTTTGTTGTACTGGTTCTCTCACTATCAAAAATCATATATGGATCTGTTATTAGACTTGAATGGATATGTTATTTTTTGAATATAAAAAATCTCTGTTCTATAAGATACTTGATTGTTGCTTGTTATAGTAATAGTGGGTATTTTGTCTAGTATATTTGTAAGTCTGAGGATCCTGTTGCTTGAATAGGTGCTGTGAAAGCTAAATCTGCAGAAAAATAGTAATTTGATGTTGCTAAAATATGTATTTATATTATAAATTTACAAATTCGAGTTGTTTAGGAAAATAGCAATTTCGTACTAAGAAAACTTGTATTTCTATTGCTAATTCGCAAATTTCTGTTACAAATATATATTGTGTTTAATTATTAAAAGTTAATTGAAATTGTTTTTGAATGATATGCAGCTACAGATAACAAAAGGCTAACAGTAGTGGAAAACAATTAATTGCATCTCCTATGTGGGAGGTGCATTTGTGAAGAACTTGCAACCACCATTGACTACTCGCCATCCTGGAAGGCTTAAAACTAGGAGGATTGAATCCCAATTCTAGCAGAAAAAAGTATATCATTGCTTAAGATGTGGTAAAGCCAGTCATACTAGAAAGACTTGCCCCTTGTGTGACTTTATTGTTGAAAATAGTCTTTTCTGGTTTAATATAGAGCTGTTTTTGCACATGAACGAATCTCGATATGTATTTTTGGATTGGTTGGGAAAGTAGCTATGACAACCCATTTAATATTTTTGGTGGTGGATTGGAATCTATAATGTATAATGATGTGATAGTTGAAAAATATCATAATGGTACTAGACTGCATTGAAATTCGCTGACAACAATGTAAGTGTATGAAAAACTTTGTCCACTTATAAATAGATGTATTTCTGTTGTTAATACATGTATCCCTATTACAAATTGCCTAATTCCAGTTATGAATGAAACATTCAGACTTGTGCATAAACTTTTTATTTGAAATACTCCACTTATGAATGGAAGAGATGTAACTATTGGTAACACATGTATTTTTATTGCAAATTTTCTTATTCTGGTTGTCAATGAACACTTGCTCGTGGACTTATGTTTGATTTGTTAATTCAACTAGCTCACTTACAAATAGACGTGTTATTATTGTCAATATACGTATTTCTATTGTAAATTCTCTATTTCTAGTTAAGAATGAACACTCCCTCTCAAACTTGTGATCAATTTGTCAATTTAGTTAGTTCACCTGCAAATGGCCGTATTCTTGTCATTAATATATGTATTCTTGTTGCAAATTCCCTAATTTCAGTTGCAAATAAATCCTCCCAAACTTGTGAATTGTTCAACCTTTTTAATTCAACCAGCTCGCTTGCAAATAGACACGCTGTTGTTAATATACATATACATGTTGCAAATTTCATAATTTTAGTTGCAAATAGGCCTTCCTAGACTTGTTAATCATGTTCAACTTCTTCAATTCAACTATCACTTGTGAATGGACATATTATTATTGTTAATATACGTATGTATCTTGCAAATTTTATAATTTCAGTTCAAATAAGTCCTCCCAGACTTGTGAATCAACATGTCTGATTTTTTAAATCATATTACTTTATTTATAAATAGACGAGTTCTTAATGTCAGTGTGCATATTCGTGTTGCAAATTTCCTAATTTTACTTGTGAACAATCTCTCCAGACTTGTTATATTATTATGTTCAGCGTTTTAGTTATATTAGCTTATTTGTAAATGGACGGGTTTTTATAATAAATCAACTTATCCTTGTTGCATATTTTTTAATTCCAGTTGTGAATAATACATCACATACTTGCAAATTGGTAGAAAAAGACTAAAGATTACAATTAATTAACTCGCAACATGCTCATAATATATATTCCCCAAAAAGAAAATTATTTAAATTCTCTATTCATAACTTTTAACATAGTTCCAAATAGCTTAAATTACATGTCAAATGGAAAATTTAACAATTTGCCATGTTATCACTTTCTTTTCTG